AAAAACTTTACAGGGTTTTTCTGCCATTGTGGACTTCTGTGGTGCCCAGTGGTTTGAATATCCAAACTGAAATATAATAAATGCAGCGTCAGGGTGCTTTAAACAATGGCAGTCAGAAAATAAATGCCCTACAGTACATAACAAAGGGAATTATAGAATATTTACATGCATAAAAAATACATACATATTTACATATTAAGAATTTTCATTCATTCATTTTCTTTTCAGCTTAGTCACTTTATTAATCTGGGGTCACCACTAACTGCCAACTCGTCCAGGATATGTTTTACACAGGGGATGCCCTTCCATCTGCAACCCATCTCTTGGAAACATCCATACACACTCATTCACACACATAAACTACAGACAATTTAGCCTACCCAACTTACCTATAGCACATGTCTTTGGACTGTGAGGAAAACCAGAGCACCTGGAGGAAACCCACACCAACATGGGGAGAACATACAAACTCCACACAGAAACGCCAAACTGACCCAGCCAGTGCTCGAACCAGCGACCTCCTTGCTGTGAGGCGATTGTGCTACCCGCTGCACCACTGTGCTGCCCTACATAAAGAATACATTTATGTTCATCCCAGAGCAATTACCAGATGAGCTTCTCTGTTTAAAAAGTCAATTAAAATTTAATTAGTGAATTAAAACTGCATTAAAACTGCAATTTAGAAATTTAAAACAGATAAATCCACTATACTCAGAAAAATCCTTCATTTCTTTTCAACCTTGCAACATAAAGTATCAGTAAATGTTAATATGCTTTACAATGCAGTTTGCCACATGTATGAGTTTGACACAGTGACTCTTCTTCTTTCTTAAACATGAGAGCTGCTGATAAGGGTGAAGACATTCCTCTATGAATTCTGTTTCCTGAGATCATCAGCTTCCAGTTCCCAGAATTTTTATTGTGTTCAATATGTGGTGCAGAATTTGCCTATATGCAGCAGCACACAAATGTGTGTACACCATGTCATGATAATCATAGTAATACTTCAAATTAATTTATATATATACAATATGTGAGTAAACATTTGTATGCATGCCAGTGCGTGTGTGTGTGTGTGTGTGTGTGTGTGTGTGTGTGTGTTTACTAGGTGTCTGAGTGTTTCAGTATACTAAAGCTCAAAGGATGCCATTTCTTACAAATTTAAAATAAAAATATTCAAATTTATTGTCATTTATTTATTAAATTGTTTTAAGAAAATGAAATATTTTTTAAAACATTTATTTGCTATTCCAACCAAAATATTGCTACATTTTTGCTTCTCAAGTTATAGCACTGTATTGTTTTGTTGTCTAAACAAAAACAAAAATGTCTGAAAACATTTTATTTTAACCAATTGTTATATTATGCTTTAAATTACTGTACACTACTTTATAATATATTACATTATATTATATTAGATTATATTATATTTGATGGTGGCACAGTAGGTAATACAGTTGCCTCACAGCTAGAAGGTCGCAGGTTCGAGCCTTGGCTGGATCAGTTGGCGTTTCTGTGTGGAGTTTGTTTTCTCCGCGTTCGCGTAGGATTCCTCCGGGAGCTCCGGTTTACCCCACAGTCCAAAGATGCGGTACAGGTGAATTGGGTAAGCTAAATTGTCCGAAGTGTAAAAGTGTGAATGAGTGTGTGCATGGATGTTTCCCAGAGATGGGTTGCAGCTGGAAGGGCATCCGCTGCGTAAAACATGTGCTGGATAAATTGGCGGATCAAGCGGCGATCCCAGATTTATAAAGGGACTAAGCCGAAAATAAAATTGAAAAATATTTTAACTTTAGTAGAAATTACAGAAATTTTCAAGACAAAACAATAAAAATATATTTATATAATTTATATAGCTATACACAGAAACATTTCATATTTCTTGTATCTCACCTTATTTGCACTCTAAAAAAATGGTTGATTAAAAAATCACCTAACAAACAAGAAACAGCACAGCCCTTTTTAGAAAGTGTTTGTTTTTAATCGTTATAATGTAAATTGTAGAGAGTTTATATAAAAATTAAGGAAATATCTGCTGGTAATTTGTCGCCTTCTATACGCATGGTAAAATAATTCAGTCAGAATGGAATGTTTCCCAAATCATTCTAGAATTAAAATGTGGCCTATTGATTTAAAGGTTCAAATGTGATGGTTTGTAACGATTTTAATAGTATTTGCTGTAGACTAGAAAACGTTAAAATGTATTTAATGATTCTTGTTGTTGTTGTTGTTGCATTGTTTATCAGGACATACTGCCATTCAATAATTATTTATTAATGCATGTCGCTTACCTGTTTAAGCGAAGCAACCATAGCATTTCGGATGTTTTTAGCTCCATCTTCCAGCGATGTGTTCGCACTGGGTCCGTTTGAACAGTCACTTGATTGAGTCTGCACTAGATAGCTACAACAGTGTTATAACGCAATTTTATGACAAAGCTTTATCAACATTTATTGTTTAGATATTTTAAATGAGCTATAGGTAAGAATTTAAATGTATGTTCACCTTTTTGTTGCCAATATGTAAACAGGTAAACAAAACGGCACAAATGAGACTAATTACGTGCCGGGAAAATGACATTTACGCGCACGCTCCCGAGAGCCAGACATTTTTATGACGCACCACATGAATTAAAGTTTTTTATTTTTTATTATTTGTTTGTTTGTTTGGTTGGTTGTTTGTTCAATTATTTATTTTATTGTTGTTGTTGTTGTTGATTTGCCTAAAATAATTAATTAAATAACACCGTGTAATCTAATGCTATTGTGTAAACATGTTTACATTTTTAAGAGAAATAAATAAGTAGCCTACATTCACGTAACATTCATCATATATATCCTTCTCTCCAGCATATAAAAGTTATTTTACTTCTAACCAAAGTCTAAAAAATAGGTTGAATTACGATACTCGTAATACTTGTGTGCACGAGCAATTTGCTGACTGCAGTTCACTTAACAGCCACAGATGTCACTAATATCAAGGGTTTCTTAATGATACAGTCTGTGATTCATAATTAATTTATTTGACTGATTAGTATCTTTAGCTTTAATGTTAAAAATGAACCATAATAATAAATATTTTCTTCTGCTTCTAATTAAGAGAAAAGAAGCTGCAAATGGAAAACTAACTAATCTCAGAAGTACAAATGTTAAACAATTCATGTTCAACTACCATATTTTATGTAACATCTAATTAATTTAACATTGAATAATTTCTCTTAAAGTGCACCATTTCCCTCTATTTAAAATAATTTGAATAAAGTTTGCAAAAAGTGGTAAATGATGGGATATGCTTAGCCTCAAATACTGTTCCCAAAGTGTGGATTTGCACTGTGCACATGAAATTGAAACCAACTTTAAAGTGTATTCTCTGTTACTTACTAGATCATCAGAATATGTGTTGAACGCAACCATTTACTATCTTGTTGCTCACCAAAAAAGCAGATCAAGAGGCTTAAAAAACAAGACGGGTCTCTGTTCGCTTCCAACTAAACTGACTCTTTCATCTGCAACACATTACTGGGAAACATCCAAACACACATATTTTTAGAGTTGTGGGGAAAACCGGAGCACCCAGAGGAAACTCTCGCGAACACTGGAGAACATGCAAACTCCACACAGAAATGCCAACTGACCCAGCCGAGGCTCGAACCAGCAACCTTCTTGCTGTTAGGCGATTGTGCCATACCCACTGCGCCACTGCATGTGTTTTTGTGTTATGGATTAATTCCTGGCACTGTTTTGACTCCATATTATAGGCCCTTCGTTCTCCACTGACAACAAATACCATCACACGTATCCACAAAAATAATATTTAGCCCATTGATACCTCATAATTTTTTCGATTGTTTGCTGTCACAAAATATGTAATGAAATGAAGTATCTTAAAGTATATTTAGGGTCAGTGTTAAAATTAAACCTCAATACTGTGAACCAATATTCATTCATTCATTATCTTGTCGGCTTAGTCCCTTTATTAATCTGGGGTCGCCACAGCGGAATGAACCGCCAACTTATCCAGCAAGTTTTTTTTTTACACAGTGGATACCCTTCCAGCCGCAACCAATTTCTGGGAAACATCCACACACGCATTCACACACACACTCATACACTACGGACAATTTAGCCTACCCAATTCACCTGTAGCGCATGTCTTTGGAATGTGATGGAAACCGGAGCACCCGGAGGAAACCGGCAGGGAGAACATGCAAACTCCACACAGAAACGCCAACTGAGTCGAAGCTCGAACCAGCGACCCAGCAACCTTCTTGCTGTGATGCGACAGCACTACCTATTGCGCCACTGCCTCGCCCGTGAACCAATATGTACTGTATAATTAAAATTTTTGTCTGGGCCAAACAAATCAAGAGAACCGAATCTGTAGTGTTTGAACACAGCCTTAGATTGCAGGCCTGTTGCTAGCCTGGTGAAAGAGGTGGTTCTTTTTTCTCAAAAAGAAGACCTTTTTGCAGTTATTTGCGTCATTCTCTTTTTAATTTTGAGGCTTAAATATTGCATTTTAATGACTTTTTGAAGCACTTTTTTGTTTAAATAGCTTGTCGGCTGGCCATCAGAGCCAAAATTTTTGATGAATGACTGTTTGACTGTGTTTCCCAGTGTTGGGTTGCGGCTGGAAGGGCATCTGATGCGTAAAACGCTGGATAAGTTGGCGGTTCATTCCGCTGTGGCGACCCCCTGATTAATAAAAGCACTAAGCCGAAAAGAAAATGAATGATTGGGACGGTTTTGGTGCTTCACACCTTTATATTGATTTTTTTGTTGTTTGTAAGGTGTAGGATTTAGAATAAAAGTTATTTGTAAAATGTTTTCTCTATTTAAAAACAATAAATTAGGTCAGTAGTAAAAGATGACTTAACTTCCATTTAGCTTTGGAATTACCTTTTAGAATTTTTCTGACTTGGTACTTGATCTTGTTAAATGTGCACTTCCTTCCTGTATGTATAGTATACATGCGAGTGGCCAAGAATGCAAGTGTTGACATTGGGTCAGGCCGTTTATTTTCCATAAGTCATTGCAGAAAGATGATGAAAAAGAAAACATTTTGCACCATACGAAAAAAAGAAATCCAGCTAACCATTAATGGACTGCTTGCAGTCAACATGCATAAGCCAGACAGCACCTCAGATGGCTAAACAAAGAATAATTTGTTATTTTTTAGAAAGATAAGGTTTATCACAGAGAACAATTATTTTGGTAATATCTTTAAGAGACTCAGCATACAATTTCATTAACAAAACTGGTTACATTAATTTTTCTATTTGTTAGTAAAAAGTAAAATCTAGTAACAAATCAATCAAAATAGCGATACAATGCATTTGCTTTTAAACGCAATGTAAAAAAAAATAATTTGTTAGTTTCAAAGTTTTTTTCATAGAAATAATTTGATGTGTATACTTTGAAATACAGCAATAGGATGACATAAAAATCAAAAAAAGCAAATAAGTTTGTTGAGTTTTGTAAAGACCTACAGTAGGTCTGAACTACATTCCCATTTATGCACCAGTCATTTCCATCAGTAAACATGGGACATAAATTATTCTCTTTGGTTTTAGTGGTTTGTTTTCACATCTCACAGCACACAAATCAGACTCCGGCCCTCCTCAATCTCATCCTGCACCTTGTCGCTGGAGGTGGCGATCTCAGCCTGGGCTGAAAACATAGCACAGATGAAAGTGAGCACTGTGCCTCCTATGGCTGTGTAAAAGGCCCAGCCCAGAGAACACAAGCCCACTTTATATGCGGAAGCATCTGGACCACAGTAATCAACCACCTTCTTTGAGCCCCAGCCTGCAGGATAGAGCATCAGACCTAGGATAAGGAATAGACCTGCAAAAGGTAGAAAAAGACTGATGTAAGTACTATACAAGAACAACCATTGCAAACGAACAGAAACAGAAACATGGATGTCTAAAAATGGCGAGGCAACCTATAATTGTAAACAACAGTTTGTATGGTTTGCAGATTGTTATATGGATGTTATATGGACAGTGGGGACAGAATTAGGAAATAATTAAAGTCTTTTCTCAATAAGATCAAACACCTGGGTGGATTCCAATTGACCTTTCGATTGAAAACTATTGTTTTAGGTGTGCTGTGGACTATTTCATTTGCATACAAAAAGTTTTAATTAAATAATTTATTTATAGACAAATTCTCATGAAAATGAAATGAAAATTTTCCTCACCATTTACTCGCCCTCATTTTATTATAAACCCATAAGACTTCTGTGCATTCTTCAAAACATAAATAAAGATATTATTATTAAATTGTACTGCATTGTATGAAATTTTCATCACTAGAGGGTGCATATTTACAACAAACAAAGGTATAGTTTGATGACAATTAGGGCTCTATTTTAATGATCTAGGCACAAAGTCTGAAGCACATGGCGCAAAAGCATTAAGGGCGTATCCTAATCCACTTTTGCTATTTTAAGGATGGAACAATACGCTCTGCGCCCTGGCACATGGTCTAACAGGGTTGAGCTTATTCTCCTAATGGGTTATGGGTATGTTTTGAGAATAAACCAATTAGAGTCTCATCTCCTATTCCCTTTGAGAGTCAGTTGCGTCACATTTGCTATTTACTTTGTAAGTGTAAAAACTGAACGCGTCACTAGTAAAAAAAACAGTTAAACAGACCACCTGCAGCTCAAGGATAAAGAATGAGCCTCCTCTTTTCTGCCTTTACTTTTACCTTCTCTTTTGTGGATAAAGAAACGGTTTTACACACAGACATCCATTAGCTTACCTAAATAATTTCATTTGCTAAGTGCCAAGATTCAATTCAAAACTATTTCTAAATTCAGTTCTAATATTCAGCAAACTAATAAATCAGCAATAATAACGAAGTGTGGTCAAACACTGAGTGATATCCAAACACATGTCCTAAGCCTCATATGGTCCAAAACCTGACAGGTGGAGAAATCTAAGTTTGTTTTTAATAAAACTAATATAAATATGCAAATAATAAATACTAATAATAATCATTCATTTTCTTGTCGGCTTAGTCCCTTCATTAATCTGGGGTTGCCACAGCGGAATGAACCGCCAACTTATCAAGCAAGTATCCAGCCGCTACCCATCTCTGGGAAACATCCACACACACATTCACACACACACTCATACACTACGGACAATTTAGCCTACCCAATTCACCTGTACCGCATGTCTTTGGACTGTGGGGGAAACCGGAGCACCCGGAGGAAACCCACGCGAACGCAGGTAGAACAAGCAAACTCCAAACAGAAACGCCAATTGAGCCGAGGCTCGAACCAGCGACCTTCTTGCTGTAAGGCGACAACACTACCTACTGCGCCACTGCTTCGCCCACTTCTAATAATAATAATGACATTATACAAAAGTAAGTTGTAATAAATAAACAAATCAGTAGTTTTCATATTTATGTAGAAAGTAATAATTTTTGTAATATTTTAATCCTTTAATTCTTTTTCATTTGTAAAGATATGTTTGTATTGCTGTACATCCTGCGTGTTTTAAGCAATGTGGTAGCGAGGCGCATGTGCTCTGTGTTGGACTTTAGACCTGCTTTCAGCTGCTTTCAACTGCTTTTTAATTGCTTTAGTTCCTCAAAGCAATCCGCCAACAATGCGCCTTAACACACCTCTTTTCTAGACCCAAACAGTCATGAGTCCACAAACTGGAATGAATGCATTTGCTTTTTAAAATTAAGGTTAGATTGGTCTGAAATTAGTAACGTGCCAGGGCAAACGTCTTGCGCCTTATTGTGCCGGGTGTATAAAAGGGCCCCTAGTGTGAAATCATGGGAATTGTCTTAATTATATCCTACGTGACTCCTACAGATACCATGTTCATAGATGGACTAAAGTATTCATAACTTATTATCACGGTAGTATCAAGCAGAGTAAGGCCAAAGGCTAGCGAAGACAAATAAGAATGCTGAAGCAATTGCTGAATGAGAGATGAATGCAATGCAACATAAACAGTCACAGTCAACCACTAGGGAAAGCAACACTATGCTATGCTAGTTTGACGGCCAAATAGTGTAAATAAAAAAAGAAAATTAAACACAGAGAGTCTCAGAACATCAGAACAGAATTTGACTTAGAATGTCACCAGTTTAACAATGATTTGATCAGCTGTAGTTTAAAATTACGCTGAGTTTTTCTCCTCTAAGGGCTTATTATGCTGTCTCTGTCACCATCTTGTGGATGGACAATATCAACCGTCTTTGCTTTGCTCAATGACAGGCTGATGGATGCTGATGTGCTGTATCTCCGAAATTATAAATTTTTAAATAGGCACTATCCCTAAAAAATCCATTTGAATAAAGCTGTTTAATCAGTAATACAAAACAGTAATACAAAACAGTTTTGTTCCTAATGTACTGTTAATTATTTTAATTATTATTATAATTGCTCAAAAATACAAACTGATTTCCACTTGCTTTCCGAAGAAAACCCAGCAGATATCATCATCAGATAACATCAATTCTTTACAACATAAAAGTTTTCCCTGTAATGGCTGAGGGTGAGCCATGAGTCAAGTTTCTAGTTCAGTGTCATTTTCCACTCTTCTAATAAGCTATGTGATTACGCTTTAAATAGACACTGTATTAGCCTTAATATGTGATTTAATTATTATATTACTGTTTAAAAGGCAAGAACGCTTGCTGATTTAATCTTCATACCAAACAGAGCCGGTCACTGTGATCCCTCAATTTTATCCCGTGTTCTTGCTCTAAATAGGCAAGTGAGATCCTGTCTCTGAAGTCATGCTGAAGTCATGCTCCTGCTATTCACAAATTACTCAATCACCATGTTGTAAATCTTTCAATAAAATTATACAAGAGCTCCGTACTTTGCTTGTACCTGTTGTTGGTCTTGGTCTTCAATAAAATAAGCCACACTATTTTTATTGCACCACAATGCTTTATTGTTCTAGTGTTCCCAGACATGACTGCAAGTAGGAGCTTTATCATGACCGATCTGTTATTTCATGGTCTTTTGACTGAGAAGGTCCTGCCACAGTCAACATTACCACTTTTGTTCCTTTGAGCTGGTTTGGGAAATGGTAATGAAAGAAGATTTGGAACCCTGAGGCCAGATTCACAATGCATTCAAGTCAGCATGGAATGAAATTCACCCTAGCCTACTTCCCATACTAACTGGCCAATATATTAGGTACATCTGATCAACTGCTTGTTGATGCAGATGAATAATTATCCAATCACATTTAAGCAACTCAGTGCATTTAGGGATGTTGTTGTGGTCAAGACAACCTGCTTAAAATCTGATTGAAATCAAAATGAACAATTGTATCTGTGCACTTCATTATTTTGTAAAAAAATATATATAATTTGTCCTCATAATCTTTTATCAAATGCCCAACATTCTATTGAATTGACTTTTCTTCATTTCTGGTCACATGGAAGGCTATTATGTTGTGTCTCATTTTTGCCCTGTTTTGTCCATTCATCAATCTTCCTTCATTTTGTTAGCGGCACCCATCTACCAATGATGCAAGCGGTTCGCAAAGGATGAGATCGTAAACCAGACTTAATTATTTTCTCTCATTTTAGGACCATTTCACTTCAGTCACAATATAGGACAATCTTAACTTCCATTTCATGGTGACTTTAAGTTAAAACTGAGCATCAGAACGGGAAAGAAAAGTAATTTTTGTGACTTTGACCATAGCATAGTTGTTTGTGCCAAACAGGCTAGTCTGAGTATTTCAGAAACTTCTGATTCGCTGGCATTATCATACACAATCATATTTAAAATTTACAAAGAATAGTCAGAATGAATGGCTCATTAAAGCCACGGTTTGCAGAAGAGCATCACTAAACACTCAAAATATACAACCTTGAAGCAGATAAGCTACAGCAGCAGGAGAAGATAACAATGTTGACACTCCTGTCAGGTAATAACAGCAAACTGAGGCTATAATTCACACTGGCTCAACAAAATGGACAATAAAAGACTTGTCTGGTGAGTCTCTATTTCTGCGGCAACATTTGGATCCACCTTGTCTTTTATCAACTGCTCAGGCTGGTTGTTCTTGTAGAAAAGTATATATAAAATTTTCTTGTCAAGCTTTTCAACCCCCAATTTGGAGATTCGCATCATGTATAATAATACAAATCTGTAGAAGCTGTTTGATTCTGTCATGTCATGGGCCAAAATTTATAAAGCAGGGGGAACAAAGTCTGTTCCTGGAGACGTATCTTCCTGCAGATTTCAGTTCCTGGATCAGGATCAAACAGGGTCGGTAGCTGTGTTTCTATCCAAAGATTTATTCATAAAACTGTAATACTGCATAAAACACTTGCAAACAAAGCACCATTTCCATTCAATCAGATCATCACTTACTGATAAACTGGGATTAAATTTCATTCATTTTTCTTTGGCTGAGTCCCTTTATTCTTCAGAAGTCGCCATAGCGGGATGAACCACCAACTTAATCAGCATATGTTTTACACATGCAAGTGCCCTTCCAGCTGCAACTTAGCATCGGGAAACATCCATACACATTCAAACACTACAGCCAATTTAGTTTATTCAATTCACCTATAGCACATGTGTTTGAAATATGAGGGAACCCGGAACACCCACACAAACACGTGGAGAACATGGAAACTACACTGAAAAAAGAGTGCACAACTGTGTATATTCAAAGATGATTGCTTGGATTTACTCGATTTTTTTACGTTAAGTGGTTGTAAACAATTTATTTGTGTTGAATTTAAACAAACAAATTAAGTTTAATAATGTTCTACTTAATTTGTTTGTTTAAATTCAACACAAATAAATTGTTTACAACCACTTAACGTAAAAAAATCGAGTAAATCCAAGGAATCATCTTTGAATATTTTTTTCAGTGAACACACAGAAATGCCAACTGGCCCAGTCGGGATTCGAACCAGCGACCTTCTTGCTGTGAGGTGACAGTGCTAACAACTGAGCCACCTTTGCGCCAGATTAAAAAAAAAAAAAATAAAAATAAGTTATTTGCTGCGACAATGAGGACCTTTTTTCTCATATAATAAATTACCTTTGCCCCAGACAAAGCTGACATGCAATGAACGTGCAGGCTCTTGCAGGCCCAAGACATTTCACACAACAAAATGTTTTTCATGTTTAAAAAAAAAAAAAAAAACATTAGTTTTTTTTTAACTTTATGTCTTATCTTACCTTTAAGTCCATCTTCTAATATTGATCAAAGCAGGGAAAATCTTTCACAATTTCTGTTTTAAAACCTTTAAACTAACTTCATTTTTTAAATTTGTTTATTAGAAGATATTTTTTTCTTTTACCTGCTTGAATTAGTGGAGCTGACCTGAATAGATCAGGCTTCAACAGTCATAGACATTTACAGTAGATGTTTATTCTTGTCTATTGGAAGAAATGCGCCAATAGCCTTTTTAGTACAGAGTAGCGCTCCTTTGAAATGAATATGGGACCAAGGTGCAGTGCAGTGTATATCCACCTTTTTGATCTAAATGGTACATAAGGTTGTTATATTTAATAATTTAGGGTGGACAGTATGCACATTGAGGTGCAAACATTGTTATATTATCAGAAACTCTTATAAGTACTTCAAAAACTCGACGTTACTTTAATTAGCAGACAATAATACACATTTCTTGCACCGCAGCATCTTGTAGTCATATTTAATTGACATTTTCACTGGTTTTATTCAACAAAACTAGCATAAGCCTAGTATTTAGTGCAATTTGGTGCTACTTTGCCTTCTGGTCAATGCAGTAAGTGACTGTATTATCATCAATAAACTGGCTAGCACAAAAAAAAAAAAAACGAATCTTCCCTTTAAAATGTTATGATTTAAGCTTTGTTTTCTTTGTCAGCTCATTAATACACCCATACGCTGCGCAAACGTCCACCATCTTCTGATTGGCGTTAGTCTTGACTAGTGCGGTTGACATTTGTCCTGGGAACACTGTACAAATGTGGCGGCACTATTGACGCATACTCAGGGTCCGTATGCGATATCTAGTGTATATATCTATGTTCAACTGTGACATTTGAATCAAAGTGAACTGAATGGGTTTTAATTACTGTAAAGTAGGACTACACCAGCTTTCTAACACTACTCTCCTGCCTGCCTGTTTTGCTGGAATGAACACAAAGGAATAAGTTTTAAAAAAAAAATAAAAACTTGTAACCATACTTTGATAGTATTTGTTTTTTCCCCTAATACGGAAGTGGTTACCGGTTTCCACATGTATTTTTTAGTGTTCAACAGAATAAAGAAAGTTTAGAACCACATGAGGGTCGGTTTTCATTTTTAAGGGTGAGCTTTCCATTTAACAAAGTTTTATACACGTTTGCGAGAATTTGAGACACGGAAATAACATTTCCATAATGGCCGTAATATTTAGACTGTCTTTTCTGTAATAAGATGATGAGGGTGTTGAAGTTCATAATTAGATAGCGTGGTCTTTGAGGTCACCAGAGGAATGTCAAACTCTTGAAGCTGTGAGCTCAGAGCAATCTGGGGGGAGCTTCAGTGTCTCTCTTACACACACACTCCCTAATTTTCTGTGTTTAGTTGATTGTGGGTGAAAGCTAAAGATGACCACCAACCGCCACCACAAAGAGTCTGAGAAAGTAGAGCAACAGTAGACTTTCCCATCTTACCTGCTATTCCCTGAAGAAGGCCACACACATTGAATATGCTCTTCTTCAAGATACTCTGGAAGCACATGCTGAAAACCGAAAGGATGCCCACTACGGAAAGGAGGAAGATTCCGATGACTAGAAATATAACAGTTGCTTGCCAGAAGCCACTAGCTATTTCCATGAAGTCTGTGGCGTAGGGCCCACATTGGACCACCTTCTGCTGTGCCACCTTGAGGCAGCGGTTATAAATACCCAGGGTGCGCTGGTCACTGCGGTGGGAAGCGGTCACGGTGAAGTTTAATTCAGATCCTTCTGAATATCCCACGAGCCATTCAGCGCTCATGAATGCCACCAGCTCAGCAAATGCCACCACAATACTCATCAAGGTCCATAACATGGAGCGGCATGTGACTATGACGTGACACATTGTGAAGAACCTTGATGCAGGCACTTGAGGGGAATCGGCTTCTTCTGTGTTGAGGTCAAGTGGCACGTCAGTGAAGGTCCATTGGTTTTATCATAACAGCTGAATCAGATTTCTTCAAATTGCACCACAGAAGAACTCCTGATCTCTTGGCACGTCCTGAAAGTATCCATGTGCTGACCAAACCTATGATAAGAGAAAAGAAACATTTTTTTATGAGGAAGTTTTAATCAATAGCATAGATCTACATGTAGGTTGACTGCTGTGAATCAGCAAGCTAACCTCTGTACAAAGAACAAGACAGTGGCTGCATCCAAAATTGTCTACTACTCAGTAGGTCCTGCATTTGAATTTAGCGTACTTCTTGACCGTTAGAGAAGAACGCTCTATACAATATAAAAGTTAGTAGTATAAATGGATCTCGGAAGTACTACATCCACCATTTTGTCATGATCATGTGATCTACCCACGTCAGTTGCATCACTTCATTCTTTTTCATGAATTCTCTCACGAGGCATCATGGGATAGCGAAGCATGCATTGGATACTCACTTCAGAATCTTACCAGAGGCAGTAAGGCATACTTCTTCTCTTCTTACATACTGTGAATTCAGACCTACTACTCGGCTCCCATGCTGTTTTTAGCGTACTATATAGTATGGAAGTATGCGATTTCAGTTGCAGCCAATTAGATTTTGAGCAGGTTTTTGAATTTACACACCTTTGTGTAAAATGTTTAAATGGCAACAGTGTAGTCAAAAATAGAAACGTTTTTCCCTTGTGTTTTTAAAACGTGTCACATATATAAGGCGTAACTTCCACTCGGGACACTTGATCCTAATTGTGTTTTCAAAATCCACCACACTTTTTAGGATTTTTACAACACAGGCTCATTCTGAAAACTTAGTCCAGAAATCAGGTAAGATAAAAACAGAATCCAAAAAATAAAATTAACGAGTGAACAACAGGGTGAGAATGTGGTAAAAATCAGACAACGGCTTTTCTTTTTCTGGACGACTTTTGTAAACTGTCGGTTGAGTTTAGCGAAGTACTTCGCGGTCTCCAGAAACGTCCACGGGACTGCGCTTTCAGAATGAGCCTCGGTTGGATTTTTAGCCACGTGTCATTATCGCCATAGATAATGACAGAACACAGAAAGATTGTGCATTCCTGCTCTGAAAATAACTTTTTAAAAAGTTCTAATGAACAGGTAATATGGTTGAAACAATTGTTTCAAACTGAGATGAAATGGCAAGCAGCATCAGATGAATGCAATGTCAACATGGAAAAAAAAAAGAAGTTGGAAATTCAGTATATTAGCTCAGATCAGTGTAATTGCATTTTCTGTCAGACAGAATATGCCTCCACTGTTGATGCTAGTCTATTCATTCATTCATTTTCCTTCGGCTTAGTCTCTATTTCAGAGGTAGCCATTCTACTATGACATACAAGTATTCCAGCATATGTTTTACACAGTGGATGCCCTTCCAGCCACAACCCAGCACTGGTAAAACACCCACACACACCCTCATTCACACTTATACACTACAGACAATTTAATTATTTAATTAAAGTATAGCGCATGTGTTTGGACGATGGGGAAAACCGAAACCCTCTGAGAAAACCCACGCCAACACAGTGGGTACATGCAAACTCCACACAGAAATGACAACTAAACCAGCCAGGACTGAAACCAGAGACCTTCTTGCTGTGAGACGACAGTGCTAACCACTCGCCACTGTGTCGCCTTTTGCTAGTCTAATGTTTATAAATTTGTAATTAACAAAAGGAATGTATTTTTTTCATTAACTAAAGATGGCTGTTGTTTATACATGAAAGATGAATAATACAATAATAATCAACATTTTCATATAATTTGTTTACATGATAATTTGTTTACATGACAACACATAACAATTCAACACACACAGTTCTTAAAAGTTTATGTCATCCTCTTTTTTGTACAATTTTAAGTTAGTTTTAACTTTAATGTGTTTAAATCTGATTATTTCTGCCTTGCACTTTGCATCACCACAGTACACAGGTCAGGTAATTGCAGTTATTTAAATATCCCCCTCATTTTGACACCCCCACTCACCCCCAAACTTTTCGATTAAAGTTAAAGCCTTGCATATACATGACCACAAACCATTTTTTCCCCACAGATCTGTTTTGGGCTTTTTAAACACTTCACCTCTGTATCTTTAAGATCAAACTTCATTTTAAATAAAAATGGACAAACCATCAAGAAAAACATCATGAAGAAAATGAAACAATCGCTGTGGTATGAGAGATCATACAAAAACTGCACAGATTCATGCAAATTAGCTACCAATTCACCAAAATTAACAATAACCAGTTACTGTTCCATGAGACAAATAAATTCCATGAGATTAACATGCACAAATTCATATACATGACCCACCAATTCTATATGATAGTAGGATATTGTGTTGGCTGAGTTATTTTCACATTCAATGAAATAACAGAAATCACTTTTCACAAATAATTTTACCTTATTTTAATGATTATTGTTTTGTGAGTACTTAAAATACAGTCAGTTTGCTCGATTCGAGTCATAAATCTACTAATTGCTGATCTGTCTGGATTGTTGTGTTTAAGTTTTGTTAATATAATACAGTGGGGGAAATAGGTATTCAACACGTCATGTTTTTCCTGAGAATAACATTTCTAAATGAGCTGTTGACATGGAATTGAACCAGATTTTGGTAAGAACCCAAACAATACAAACATAAAAATAAAACAAAAACAAAAAAATTTGAAAACTTGTAATGTGTAATAACAATGGAATGCCACAAGGAGAATGTACTAAACTACTGAAATGTAATTAATACTTTATATAAAAGTCTTTTTTTTTTTGGTGATGGAAGCTTAAAGACAACTCTCATATGAAGAATGAAATCTCATGCATTGTTCAGGTTTGAGTTTTTCACAGACTTCAACAGAGTGTCAAAATCTTGATGGTCTCATTTATCAAATCTGATCTTAATTTTGTATTTTCTATTGGATTCAAGTCAGGTGACTGGCCGAGCCATTCTACAGCTTAATTTTCTTTCTTTGAAATAATTTGAGAGTTTCCTTGTCTGTGTTTTGGATTATTGTCTTGTCGAAATGTCCACTCTCGTTTCATCTTCATCATTCTGGTAATGTAGATGTTGGACTGAAGCAGCTAATATTAATTTACAATGATGAAGGGCAGAGGGTTGCTGAATAACTAGTTGTAGGTAGCACAATAGCCTTACAGCAAGAAGGTCACTGGTTCGAGCCCCAGCTGGGTCAGCTGGCCTTTCTGTGTGGAGTTTTTATGTTCTCCCCGTGTTCACGTGGGTTTTCTGCAGGTGCTCCGGTTTACCCCACAAGTCCAAAAACATGCACTATGGGTGAATTCGGTAAGCTAAATTTGCAATGGTGTATAAGCATGGGTTGCAGCTGGAAGGGCATCTGCTGCGTAAAACATATGCTGGATAAGTTGGCGGTTCATTCCGCTGTGGCAACCCTTGATTAATGTATAGACTAAGCCAAAAATAAAATGAATGAATATGGATTTATTTGGTTGTTACCATCATCCAGTGAAAATTTCAAGTCAACAGCCTTTTTTTTTTTTTGTGAGAAAGAAAACGGTGACATTTTGAATACTTATTTCAGTCAGAGTCAGATTACAAGTTAAGTACAAGTTTTCAGGTTTGAAAAGGCAATGCATACCTAAAATATTTAAGATTAGCAAGACAAGACATTGAAAAAGAAAGTGAGAGGATAATGCTGCAAGCTAAACAAATCTTTCTTTGGTCTGTGTTATGACAAGTCCTTATACTGTGATACCGCAAGATTGTGTAAGTAAAAAATGTCTGTTTGTACAGGCAAGTGAGCTGGTAACGAAACAAATTCTAAATCCCAATGCAATCCTAATATAAACACAAGAAAGGGGTGACGTTACAGATTGAACAAATCCCAGTTTAAAGAGCCCATATTATACATGAAATAAGGTCATATCTTGGTTGTAAGGGTCTCCAACAACAGTCTAATATGCATGCAAGGTCAAAAAACACTTTCATGGTCTTATAATCTGCATTTATTTTTACCTAATTATCCCAGCGACTCCTGTATGAATCGTCCAGTGATTCATTTGTTCCCAAACCCCTCCTTAGCGCGGAGCTAATCTGCGCTGATTGGACTGATGACAGTCTGTCGCGATTGGTCGACTGCCTTCAGTCAGAGAGGGAAATGGCCAATAGCTAATCAGCAATTTAAAAAGTAATCACAGTTCATACACGCTCGATAGTGTAGGCGTGGACTTTAGCTGCCACACTATGGCCAGTGGATAGTGCCACGGATAACCGAACGAAGGAGACAGTCGTGTACTCGCCATACCACACACACACAAAAACACACACACACCTCCGGATGACAACGCTCCCGCTTCAGCCCGCACCCGCCAGGTTTTAGCCTGAGAACCCGCTCCGTTTTCTGCCCGCCGCGCCCGGTCCCGCTAGAGCGGAGAACACAACCAAATATCACCCAGTATACAGTCACACACAGCACAAAGTACACAAAGCTCGTTCGTTCGTTCGCTCTCTCTCGCTCTCTCTCTCTCTCTCTCCCCGCGCCAGATTTCTGCGGCGCGGAAATACATTTCCGAATAAATCGCGGGAGCAGAACTCTAGCACGGAGCTCCATAAACAAACAGCACGCGTCGCGTTTTTAACGTGACTTTGCACGCGATAAGATAATATATCCAGTTAACCTGATACAGTACACGCGGTTACAAGTAACAAATCACAACCAAATACATTTGCAAGCTAGAGTAAACGAGGCAACAACTTTAACCGCACGTACTTACACTTGAGAAATGTAGGAAGAAACCCATCCTGACGTCCATCAGTTACTCTTTACTGATCCTTCCTTTAACAAACTCAGATGAAGTATTCTTTGTAGCATGTAGCTTCCAGAAGTTTCCAACTGCTTGGTTATAATGCTGATGTTTCATCTTTGGGTAGAGACTCAATATATCCATCTGCAGTGTGACTTCAATCGACCGGCATGTTTGTGTGCGTGTGTTTGTGGGTGTGCGTGTGTTTGTGGGTGTGTGTGTGTGTGTGTCTGGGTTACTGCGTCAGAGGGCGGGGCCTCAGGTTTGAAATCTCCCGGGTTTGCGCGTGCACGTGAAAAACTTTGTTTCGTTCGTACGTCATGGCGAAACACCTAATGAGTCGGTATCAAGGCGACTCGTTTGAAGCACTATGATTCGACTCTTTTATAGATGAATCAACAGTTTTAAACACTGTATTCTTACAGATTTAAGCCTTAGCTGGATACTTCACTTCACTTAGAGCTGTGTTACACACTACATGGAGGGGAATTTTCAAAAACCCATAATATGGGCTCTTTAAGTAAACTGAGGCTGAGAACATGATGGCAAGTAAGGGTATCTTAAAACCCTCAATGACAGCGCTGGGAAAACAGGTGATATACGAATTTATAGAATTATTGAGTTCAGTGTTACGTCAGGCCAGAGCCTTTATCAGTTAACACTAAACTGACAGGTTACCAGAGCAATATGTCATGTCGTTGTGTCTTATAGGAAATCTATATGGGTGAAAAGTAACTAGCCAATATTTAATGGCCATACAGCAGAACTTCGCCATAGCACAATGTTGATAGTACAGGAATTATCCAGGAAAGGCAGTATTAAAGTGTGAACTTTAATTTTAATGCCTATACAGTTACTTTTCATAGGTTATGCATTGGAAGTGTTTTCCATGTGCAGCTATTTTGTTTCAGTCCTTCAGAATAATTATTTGCTCATGAAGCTCCATTGTGAGCTGTGACAGATTGTTTACCTGAATGGCCAGAATGTTTCAGACCTAAGAAACACAAAGAATGAGCTCACGCTTAATTTAATCACACCACATGATTTCTCCAAAAAAGGAGGCAGCAAACTAAAAGGGAAAGTGCCATGGATTCTTAAGGGGGCTGAAGAATGTCAGAGGCTGCCGCTGTGAGATGAGGACACAAAGGGCTGTCCTGCAGGGGAATTAAAATGCTACTGAAAAGGGATGAGGAGACTCTCTACTTTTGAATGAAGTGAACCCCTAGAAACGGTTGGTGACAGACTTTCAATGGCGTTTAAGTGGTCAAACAGTACCTCCAAAACAGTTTAAACGCTGACAGGAATACTTCAGTCAGTGTAGTCTTGGAATGTGCTACAACATGATAAGGATTGTCCAAAAGTGCTCATTAACCAAACTCAAAGGTCAAAAACAGTGTTGGGGAAAGCTACTTTTAAGTAACTTTTTTTTTATTGTAATACATTACAATATTGTGTTACTCTCATAAAGAAAGTAGTTACTTTGTTAATTAGCACTTACTCCTGCTTTTAACATGGGGACATGAGAGCTAAGTCAACAAAAGCTCAACTATGTCTGTCAGCTCCTCAATCTTACTTGAAATGTCAAGGTGATAGAGCGAAGTCAACATAGCTCAACTATGTCTGTCAGCTCCTCAATCGTACTTGAAATGTCAAGGTGATAGAGCGTTTTCTGTAGCAGCTCCAAGGAATGACCAACCAGTGTCCTCAAGAACATCCCCTACCCTAGTTAGAAATGTTAAAAATCCATTTATTTTCTTTAACTTTTAATTATGTGGTCTAAATTGTAACTATTTAAAAAGTAATCTGATTATGTAACTCACATTGTTTGTAATTAATTACTTCCAACACTTTAGAAATCAGTACATTCTGTAACTACATGTAACAAGTTACTGGCTTTACTGAAAGATTGTCATATTTTGGTACAGGACGGCACTCAGATTTTAAGCTGGTCCACCCAACTCAAAACCAATTTAGAGTGAGTCTGTATAAATAAAAAAAGAAAATCCTGTATAGGTAGAAATTATGTAAAAGTATGATCATGATGTAATAAGATTATAGTGAACAAGACCTTGGATGCAGTTTCTATTGGTTGAGCCTCCTGTTTTCAAATGATGTTAGAAAACACCACAACATCATCATCGGTATGCAATTGGATCCCAAACGTATTATAGCTGTAACAAGTAGTTTAAGCAAAACCTCGTCAAAAAGTTTATACTGTGTGTATGTGCTTGGCATTGTTTGATCTCTGAAATAGGTATGCATGTTAAATTGTGCTAGTTGAAACTTCTTCAACAACAAAAAAAACACAAAACGTTTTATGTATGTTGCTTGAAAGACCAACACATTTTCAAGCCAAGTAACATTAAATGTGTTTGCCTTTAGATTGTTTAAAAAAAAAAAAAAACATAGGCTCATTTTGAAAACGTAGCCTTAAATACATTTCTGTAGATTGCAAATTATGTAGCCAGAGCTACGTATGGCTGTATTTCGCACTTAAAACAAATGCTACCGTGCGGTATGATGTCGCTTCTTTTCTCACTTACCAGCTGACCACTTACCACCGTATGGACGGCTTTCCCAATGTTACCAGTTTGTCTCGTAGCTCGACATGTATGTGGTAAAAATCAGGCGAGGGCTTTTCTTTTCTCGATTGCTTTTCAAAACACTGTGGTTGGGTTTAGGGCAGTGGGTGTACAGGTCAATCAGTGCTTTTTAAAACACTATTGGTTGGGTTTAGGGAAGGGGGAGGATGGGGGGAATCAGTCGGCTGCTCAATCAGTAAATCAGTCAGTCGACAGCGGCCTCAGGTGGATTTATGTGAGAACAGCAGGAGCGAATGCCACTCGCGAGAGAAATTTGAGATCTGAAAAAGCGTACACAGTAGCCTCTGGTGGATTTGCGAAAACAAAAGCTGCAAAAAATGTAGCTTCTATGATGTATTTTGCTCTTTCCAGAAATGTATATAGGGGTATGTAATGAGCCTGGGTTGAAAAATGTGATACATCTTGATACATATTGTATATAACTTTCGCATTCACATTTTAAATTACATTTTTGTATACAGTGTCGTAATTTTTTTTGAATGATGTATCATGTAAAGACCAAAGTTCTGTTTAGCTGCTTAACATCAACAAACAGTGTCAATCAACAAAAGTAGCTTGACACTGTAATATTCATTATTACCTCCTCAATCATTTCCTCATTTTTTTACTTTGGAATGGATAAAAGTGTCTAATAATGTAAATGTATATATGTAAAAAAAACAACAACTGTATAACCATGTTAAATATCACAAAGAGAAAGAAACCTCTCATAGTAATTTATCCTTAATGCATGCAAAACATTATATTACTAGTGTGCATATCTCTAAAGCATACTTCAATTGTACTCTTTACTGTAGTTAGATGTTTTTAGCAGATCTTCTTCAGCAGTCTACCAGTTTCTAAAGTTATTTTCAAGATGATGTTTTCCAAGCAGAGTCTGATAACAGTTACAATATGTTTACCAAAGTCCTTCAAAGTTCAGAGAACCTATTTAAAAGACAAACCAAGGAAGTGAGCTCATCTGGATCTCTATTTTCTTGTTCTGGTCTTCTGAGTGCGGTAAATTGTCTCATCCCACCACAGGGAAAAAAAGTGAATGTCTCTTTTTTCAGCGTGATTTTCGACGATATGAAAACCTAAAATCTACTCGCATGTGTGAAGCAGAGATAATAAACCGCAAGAAACAGTAAACGTTATATTCTTACCTTAACGGTGTTGAATCGGCTGGCTGTTCGCTGATCAGTCTTTAATTTCCTGATCTGGCGAAGCGGATCTTTTCTGTTCTGACGCTAGCCAACACGAGCCAGAAGGGAAGATCCGAGGAAGAAACACTCAGTTTCACATTCAGAGCTCTGGAATACATAGAAAAAACATACAGAAATACGTACAGTACGTTATCGATTACAGATCACAATCTATGTTTGACGCTGTTCACGCATCATCTCAATTCCAGCCCACTTTAGCTCCTTTCCCATTGTTTCTTCATCACCGCCTCCTTTTGCTCCAGCCCCTCGGCAAGTTACTATGACCCGGAATCCTACATAGCTTATGCAGCTCAAGAGGACAACCGTCTAAGCATGAGACAGATGAACTGTCTTTTTCCCTTTGATGCTTGGCAGGAGAATTTGATTACATTTTATTAGTTCGAGATATTCTCTTTAAAGGTTATTTCCATGGCACATTTTCATTACACAAAAAGTTCTTTATAGTGAAACAAAGTTATTAAATAATGATAATAGGTTATCATCATATGAGTAAAAGTTAATGATAGGTCATTGTTAAAGACGTTCTTCACAGTAAGCGGAAAAAATAAATATTTACTACAAGGTTCATTGCATTTAGGGATCCAGAAATATTTTCTTAATATTTGCCCCTGGGCTAAAGCTTCTTGTTTCCTCCTTCTTGTTTAGCTGATTTTGGATCAGCTATCAGAAAAATTAAATGAATAAATAAATAAATAAATATGTATATATATATATATATATATATATATATATATATATATATATATATATATATATATATATATATATATATATATATATATATATATATATATATATATATATATATATATATATATATATATATATATATATATATATATAGTTTGTTTGTTTTATTTATATTTATATATTTATATGGATTATTCAAACTATTCAATAAAGATCTTATGTTCTCAAATGATATACTTTTCTGTTCACACAAACATCACATTTTAAGATCTTAAGTCTTGTTGTTTTCTTGCTGGCTGTGCAATATTTGAAAATGTTTTTATCATGGACATGAAAATCCTGAGTTCCTGACATCATTTTATACTTGTTTCATAATTGTTAATAATTGCACATTAAGTATTGACGTTTGTGAATTTTATATTTGAATGTGTCTGAATTGTTGATGTTGCAGTTTTACTATCACACATGACAAAAATGAATATAGTATTGACATAATTTAAAATGCAGTAAATCTTTAAACATTTCTTTGTCTTCCAAAAAGCCAGTTATTAAATTAAAAAGTTTTACATTTAGTCAAATTGTCCTATGGAATGACTTAATTAAGTTTAGACCTAATTAATATGATGTAGAATTAAGTTTAGTTGTCCTTTACAATCATTTAAAATGTGCAAAAATGTGCAAAAAGTCCAGTTGAAGTCAAAATTATTAGCCCCCTTTGATATTTATTTTTCCTTTTTTAAATATTTCCCAAATGATGTTAAACAGAGCAAGGACATTTTCACAGTCTGATAATATTTTTTTGTTCTGGAGAAAGTTTTATTTGTGTTTATCTTGGCTAGAATAAAAGCTGTTTTTAACCTTTTAAACACAATTTTAAGGACAAAATTATTAGCCCCTTTAAGCTATATTTGTTTCGATAGTCTACAGAATAAACCATCGTTAAACAATAACTACCCTAACCTGCATAGTTAACCTAATTAACCTGGTTACACCTTTAAATGTCCCTTTAAGTTGTGTTAAAGTGTCTTGAAAAATATCAGGTAAAATAATATTTACTGCCTTCACGGCAAAGATAAAATAAATCAGTTATTAGAAATAAGTTATTAACCCTTGGTGTTTGGGTCCGTGAGACCCGTTTTCAGTTTTTTTCAAAAGAAAAATTAAACAATGAATATTTTTTATAACCTGAAATTTTTTTTAACCTGAATTTTTTTTTAACCTGAAACCTGTCCTGTGAAGAACATAAATGCGAAAAAAAAAATTAATGACCGCATAATGTACCTCCCCCCACAAATTTACATTACGAACAAGGTGTTCGGGTCCACTGGACCCAAGTCTAATAAACGTCTTGAAAGTGTAGGTCTAGTGTTCCCACACTCTGTCTTCCTCCTTTCTGGTGCTGCTGTTTTCTTCCCCTCCCCCTCCTGCTCCCACACAAAGTTGAAAATTCAACTATCAACACTGTCTGCTCTTACATTCCCGCGCATTTTACCTCACTCTTGCGGGAACCAAGTTTTATTTTCCCATACCCTGTCCCATTTGCGAATTAGGGGCATAATACTATAAATAAGACTTTGCCAGTGTGTAGGAATTCTGACTTCTGTATAAACTGTATAAACTATTCATATTTTCATATAAAGTAAATAGCAAATGTAGAAAGTATCTATCAATGAAGATAAACACTTTCAGGCTAGTTGCATGTTATTGAGTTCTTAATTCTTGCTTTCACACAATAAAAATCAGTAAAAAAGGTTGGCAAAATGTATAAAGTTAATATTTTCTCAAACAATAAACCTACATTATTAAAAAATATAATAACTTTTCTTCAAACAAAGAAGCTGTAGTTATGCAATTATACAAGATTAAATAAAGATTATCAGTGTGTAAAAGTACATGTGTATTTACATATTTCTAAAAGTACAAAGTAAAAAGATGACATATTAGGACAAACATTAAAGTGAATTTTATATTTGAATTAACAGCATGTTGTGGTGACACGGTGTGGAGTTTGCATGTTCTCTCCTTGTTGTTCTGGGTTTCCTTGGGGTGCTCTGGTTTCCCCCACAGTCCAAAGACATGCACTATAGGTGAATTGAATAAACTAAATTGGTTGTAGTGTATGTGTGTAAACGAGTTGTATGGGTGTTTCCCAGTCCTGGGTTGCAGCTGGAAGGGCATCCGGTGTGAAAAACAAATGCTGGCAACCCCTGATGAAAAAATGACTAAGCTAATAGAAAATGAATGAATGACAGCATGTTGTCATATATGTATCAACTTCAGAGGGCTTCATTGTGTCTTACGGCAAAAGAGTGAAGCTGATAAATGTGGGATTTGATAAAAACAGCGACAATGACAATGTAGACTTCCCTAAATCAAAGTAATGAACTAATAAACTAATGCATTCATGAACACCTTGTGCTGTTTCTACTAATTTAGTAATTATCTGGTAAAGGTTTAGTCCAAGACTGCTGTGCGAAAGCAACAACAAAAACAGCAAAAAAAAAAAAAACAAAAAAAAAAACATGTTAATGCTGCTCTATCAGGTCCTTTAACTTTGTTTCATCGTTACCTAATCTTCTCTGCAGCATTCAAATCGTTTTCCAAAGGTTTTGGATGTAATCCCTTGGTGTAAACATTGATAAACACTGTATTGACTTTCCAGAGAGAGTGAAATATCTAAATCAAGTCAAGGGAATGAAAAATATTGCTCATCTGGCAAAATATGTTCAAACTATTTTGATACAAATATGTTTTTGTATAAAAAGAAAAAAATCTAATATTTATTTATTTAAAATGTAAAATTTGTAATGTAAGTGTCAGAAAGAAATTAAACAGGATGACAACTATTTAATCTGTATTGCATTTTTAATGTCTGTGCTTGGATTGTTCTGTTTCCTTGGCCATTATAACATTCATAAGAATTGAGGTGAACAGACTGGAGCAGTGTAATCTTGAGGGAAACATATAGGCTCAGAAGGGCCAAAGTCCTCATCAGTGTCCTCAAAGTGAGCTGATTAGACATATTGTCAATACACAACATCTCTACTGGAAAGCAATGTGTTTCGATCCAATCCCCTATTCAGAAGTGGGGGGGGGAGTATTTCCAATGCAAACAATGTACACATTCTGCAACATCCTGCCCAACAATACGATTTTTTCTTTCTGCTGCATGCTTAGGTGGACCAACAGTTTTACTGATGTTGTTTCTACATTTTTAGATTTGTCATGGGTCAAAGACAAAACGTATAAAAACAACAAAAAGGTTTTTCAAACTCATGTTATCCTGGTTATTACAAAAAAATACTGTCATACTTACAGTATGTTTCATTTTCAGCAGAGACCCACTAAATTATCATTTAGTGTTCACTGTAAAAAGCTGCTTATGAAAGTGAGTAAACCTGTTGCTTTAAAATAACAAGTTGAATTCACTTAAATAAAATGAGTAAATCCATTAACTTGGAGCCATTAAGTTGATTTAAAGAGATTTCCCCTTTGACTGACCACTGACTGGGATCATAACACTTCTGAAGACAAAAGAAGATATTTTGAAATATAATGAAAACCAGTAACTTTATATTGTATATTTTTTCCTATATGGAAATCGATGGGTTCCAGCAACCAGCAGCCTTTTGTGTTGAACAGAAGATATTCTGGATATTAATAAAGGTTTAAAACTACATAAGGAATAGCAAATTAAGTAATTTTCAATTTTAGCAAACTATTCCTTTAACTTAATTTTATAAATTGCACATAATTCATACTTAATAATGTTGGGGCAATGAGGTTAAGCATTTTTTAAAGTAAAATCATAAAACTATCACTTAATTGTAGCTTTAAATCTTTATACTTTAAGATCACAATAAGTGTTTATTTTAAGGTTGACAATAAAACATTACTTCACCCAATTTTTGATATTTTATTTTCACAAAGTTGAAAGTGAAGAGAATATTGTTGATGGAGGTTTTATATTTAAGACTGATTGTTAATGAAGGGTTTATATTTATGCAAAATGTGCATGAAGAAAAATGAAATGCTTATTGAAATATATACAGTTGAAGTCAGAATTATTAACCCCCCTGAATTATTAGCGCCCCCTGTTTAGTTTTTTTCCCCCAATTTCTGTTCAATGGAGAGAATATTTTCTCAACACATTTCTAAACATAATAGTTTTAATAACTCATTTCTAATTACTGATTTATTTTATCTTTGCCCTGATGACAGTAAATCATATTTTACTAGATGTTTTTCAAGACATTTCTATACAGCTTAAAGTGACAAGGCTTAACTAGGTTATCTAGGCAGGATAGGGTAATTAGGCAAGTTATTGTATGACAATGGTTTGTTCTGTAGACAATCGAAAAGTTAGCTTAAAGGGGCTAATAATTTTGACCTTAAAATATTTTTTTTTAAAAATCAAAACTGCTTTTATTCAATTAAACAAGACTTTCTCCAGAAGATAAATATTTTCAGACATACTGTGAAAATTTCATTGCTCTGTTAAACATCATGTGGGAAATATTAAAAAAAGAAAACTCCTCAAAGGGGAAAACTACTCAAAGGGGGTTTAAAAATTCTGATTTCATCTGTACAATATATAACATAAATTGCATTGAGATTTACAAATGAATGAGTCAATTATCAGCATGAGTTAGAAGCTTTAAAGTAAAAGCCATTTATCCAATATATCCAATATAAAAATTGTAATTATTCCCACATAAAAAAAAAATACTAAAGTCATTTAGCACAAACTTTTGAACCATTTTTTGTAAAGTATTTAATGTAATGTTCTGGTCATTTAATAGTTACATAAGTGACCCAAAACTGTATTAAGTTGCTTGCAAATACACTACACTTCAGTGTGCCACATTTTACTGCAGTTAAAACCAAAATATAGCACAGTGTTTATTATCAGTGCACAATAGTTAATAATAGTCTGCTGTAACATCTATTACCAAATTGTAAATACTGAAATATATACAGACTAGTACACTATTGTAGAGACATTATAGCACTTACTCTATGATTACTAAAGTATTTGTTTCAAATGGATTGGGTGGTGATGACAGAATTGCTTGGAACTGCTCAATGTCTTTAAAAAAATAAGTCTAGAAAAAAATCAGATCTATTTAATGAGTTACAATGTTGATTTAAGCAGCTCTCGTGTGTTTTCAGTTATGCTGCATCAGCTGAATTTAATTTGGGGAATTAATTATACTTTTAAAAGGAGGTATCAATAAGGCAGAAACACCAAAATATCAATATTTGCAGATATAGCTGAATAATCTGCTGTCAGTTTTGGTTAAGAAATTTATTATTGGTGCATCTCTATAATATAGCTGACCTCTTTGTTTGATCATTATGCTTGCTCCAGTGAACCGCTCCACGGTCATTTACTCATCTGAATGCAGTCTTGTGATCAAACATATGTTCCTTGGCTTTTCCAGTGTACTTTATGCAGTACTTAGCTATTATCATCAGAACAGCACTGCCTCTGGGGCACAAGCAGAACTGTACAGCTAAATAAATGACATTAATTCTGTTATGGTACAGCTTACACAAGATGTCGCTGTAGTCCACCTGAAGACTTGTACTTGCAGAACTGTGATGTGCTAGCGTGCTAAACGTGTTTGTGGCTACATTATAAAGAGAATGGAAAGATTGATATCGATACGCCGAGCTTTAAACAGAGTGTAAAACAATCAAGTTTATGATTAAGACAAATGTTCGAAGAGGAGCTTAAGATGTGCTTAAAATAAGCTTAAAACTGCTTAAATCGGCGATGCGCCAGAGTGAAAAGTCATATAGGCTTTTAATATAATCACAATGTACATAATTTAAGAAATTGTCAATAAAGTTTCAAGGTCATTGAAACGCACATCTATAGAATAAAATCACTGTCATAAATATTTCGTGCGTAAATAAAATTCAAGCATCTGTAATTTGGAATAAAAATCACTGTTGAACATTTTGTGCGTAAATAAAATTCACGCATCCGTAATTTGCAATAAAATCACAGTGACAGTACATACACAGACAGCATGACCGTCCTTCTCGCAGATGGCCATGGTGTGACCGCAGTATAAACTCGCACGTCTTCCTTGACTTCAGCCATTTAAACATAGGCGCGCGCTCTCTAACCGAAAGCGACGCGTCTCTATAGCAACCTCTCGCGACACAACCTCTCCGATGCGGCACCTCGTGATATTTGTAAACAAAACATACACTGGAGTCTCAGATTGGCCACCTACATGATAAATGGGGGCATTGCATTAATATGTAGGCTATTGTTCTAGAGTCAGCTGGTAAAACATGTGCCAGGGTTGTGGATCATTCACCGTGGTGACCCCTGATGAAGAACTGAATATGCAGAGAGGTGAGTGAGTTGGACTAAAATTGAATTACTTCACAAAAATAATTCACTGTTTACAAGCATTGAAAACTCTACCTGCTGGCCAAAACTGTGTACAGTACATGCGACCAAAGCCGTCATACCACGGAATAAAAGAGGTTACTGGCGGCAATAAGGAATTACACTAATAAAAAATAATGAGTAGAGCAATAGAATATGTCTTCTATTCAATTTTACAACTTATTTACCGCTAAACTATTATTGTTATTATTAGTAGTAGTATTTTATTTTATTGTTTTTCTTTAAAGTATGTTATTAGCTTTAGATGTTTTAGCAGTCAAGTACGTTTTTTTTCTGTAAATGTTCAGGAATGTTTTTTTTTTTTAAGAAAATAAATATGCACAACATGTTTTTAAAGTGAATATACATTTGTTTTAATGTGCTTTATGCTATACAAATATTACAAGAATTGTAAAATGTATAAACTCATTTAAAAGCATATTGTGTTAATGACCACTTTAGCTACACATACTGTAGTAATGTAATAGATTCCCCCGCGGCGTCGTCATGGTTATTTTAGAACTTTCAGATAAATTGGAGTGTTCTACTTTTTACATCATACCGAGTCGTCGAATGATCGTAAGTACATTTTGCACGGTGCTTTTCACCTTTTTATGTTAATAAATCATTTTTTTCTGTTAAAAATGTTTAATATTTCAGAAAACATACTGTGTTAGCTCAAATATTGTATTATAGCTGCTTTTCCGCTGTCCGGTTTTGGTTAAAGATGTCTGCCAGACCAAAAGCCCTGGCGGTGACCGGAGGTATAGGTCTTTACAGGCCGGGCAGTTGAAAAGCAGCTATTGTTTTAAACTAACGTTTCAGGCAGTAAAATACACATTCACAATGCTATATACAGTGGGGTAGTTTTAAGCGGGGATGAAAGTAACATTTTTAATAAAAAACTAATTAACAAAACTATATGTTTGTTGTGGTAACTCTATCAAGACCAGGTGTCATTTTGTATCAATGTAGAACAACTCCAATACTGTAACTTCACGTCAAACAAAAGTTGGACATTGGACGAACATGGGTGGGTCAGAAGTAACACAATATTTGCTAGATTTACTGGCTTAATGTAGTTTATTTGAAATATATTTGACTATGACCTTGTTAATGTTAACCGCAAACATATTTAGTCCTTTATTTTTGTAAAAAAAAAAAAAAAAAAAAAAAAAAAAAAAAAAAAAAACATTAAACTGCATTTTCATTGTAAATTTCAGCTCCATCAAATGTTTCTAAAGCAATCCACCAATGCAAAATGTTAAAATTTTCTACAATTTATTGAATATTTTTAGTTTTATTGGCAATATGCATTAACTCTTTATCTGAATCCAAACACTGCAAACTCTAATGTGGAAGTGAAAATTAAGGTTTGACAATTAAATAACAGTGTCGGCCTACTTTCTTCCTCACAGGAACTCTATTCATTTAATCTTGATTTACTTTTATACTGAAAACTCAGACATTTTATACTTAAGGATGTGTTATTGCACTAAATAACCTGTAGATTGATCATTAGTGTGACACATGACATCAGAAACACAACTTGTAATATGGCAAAAAAAACGATACGATAATTCTGCTGTTAAAAGCTGAAATTGGGACCTAACCGCAGGACACAGTCCTAAAATCAGCTGATATTTGGCAGCTCCATCAAGGGTTGTGCTGTTATAGCCTGGAAAGCAAATGTTGTCAGGGTTTTCCCATGTTACTTTCATCCCTGCACTCCCCTAATGCTGTAATTTTCATTGCATTACTGTGTGTTTTGGTTATTTTAAGTGAATAAAAAACTGTTCAGAAGCTTTCTATTATTTACTAATCTCATCTCTTTGTTTCACAGTGCTTTACAGTGTGTTTGCCATCGTCATCAGTGTCTATCGATCTTCTACTTCTTCTGTTTCGTCATTGCGTTTGTCACCAGCATGTCGACCATTGATTTTAACCATCTTTCCAACCTGATTCCTGCCTCTCTGTCACCTGAGAGCGCAGAAGAGCTCGCCACGGCCCTCTCCACCGGCCGCTGGTGGGCTATCATGGAGGTTTTACACCCCATCGATGAGGAGCGTCAGTTTGACTTCACTTCAGGTTACCAGAGTCAAACTGTGGAGGTAACTTACAAAAAATGAAATATTAATGAAATGAAAAAGCTAAATCAAGTTAACCTAAGACAAATTAACTCATAATATGTTAAACTGACTTAAAATTATGTCCATTTCTTCAACAGGATGACAGAGAGTTTTCTGCGTCTGGTCCAGCAGAGACAGCAGATGCGTCCTCCGTCCCTGAGGCCTCAGATGAGCTCGCCTCTGCCCTCGCTGCACGGGCCATCGTAGAGGTCGAGCGCCCTATTGAGGAGCCTCAGGTTGACATCTCCTCTGTGCCGTTTTTGGAGGCACCAGAAACATCACCAGGAGCTTCTGTGCCTGAGAACGGGGAACCCACCACATCCCCAGTCCTCAAGAGCCAGATAGAGCCGCCTGGAGCTCCCGTATATGCCGAGTCTGACACCCCGGGCTACCTCTTTTTCGGAAATCAAAACCCCACGCCTGCTGAGCCAACTTTGGCCCCACCTGTGTCTTCTGTAAGTCACTGCTGCCTCTCGCTTTCACTTATTTGCAGAATATTAATGAAAAAAAGCTTTAAACTGGGCTATTAAGTTCTCAGTATTCATTTAATCTGTTTGTTTCTTCAATAGGTCAACGGAGACGTGTTTCAGATGGTTTCAGCGGAGCCTAAAGATTCTAAAAGATTTCGAAGAGTTTCGAGGTGTCGCCGGTCTTCTTCTCTGCTGAAGATAAGGGAGGCATGGGTGAGTTCCTGCTTCCTTTTAGTTATACTCAGTGTTGCTGGGTGGAGATTTTAGTCTACACAGTAGTGAACATTTAAAGTGGATCAAAATTGAGATTGGGAGTTGTTCAATAGTTTTAGAACAACCAGTGTTGACCACTCCAAACCGAGTATACTATTATCTGCAGCCATCATTTAAAAGCTCACATATCAGCACATGATTTATCTAGAACCTGCTTAATTCATAGACTCCACAAATAGATTAAATTGACAGATCTTCAGGTTGTCTGTAAATCTGTTCAGAGTAACATGATTTTGTCTTTGTCTCCAACAGCTTAAAGAATTTGCGAAACACATGCCTCTTCAGAACCAGCAGCATGTGGAGGTTGTAGCCAGTAGGGGACAAAATCGAATCCCTGAACCACAGCCTGAGGAGCAACCTGAAAGACCTCAGCGGACAGATGTGAACGAAATAATCCGTGAGATTCTGTCTGGTCTTCAGCCTGCTCGTCCTCCCAGAAGAATGAGAGAACTGGTTAGTTACTGCTTTCTGTTTTACCCAGTCTTAGAATTAATGCACTCACTTACTTAGAGTTTTAGTAGATTCAGTGTTAAATCATTGACTTTACATGTAGCGATTTGTATTGACAGATCTTCAGGTTGTCTATAAATTTGTTGAGTAACATGATTTCGACTTTGTCTCTAACAGGATGAAGCATTTGTGAATCAGATGCCTCATCAGAACCAGCAGCATGTGGAGGTTGTAGCCAGTAGGGGACAAAATCAGATCCCTGAGCCACAGCCTGAGGAGCAGCAACAGGATAACCCTGAAAGACCACAGCAGAGAGATTTAGTAGTGAATGGAAGAGTCCGTGGGGTTCTGCGTGGTCTTCAGTCTGCTCGTCCTCTCAGAAGAATGAGAGAACAGGTTAGTCAGTCTTAGAATTAAAAATGAGTCTACACTGAATGTGCTTTTTCAGGATTGTTCCCAAAAAATCAAGCATCCATCTGCTTATGGAAAAAAGTAACTAAATGTGTTACTTAGTTAGTTACGTTTTAAAGTAAGTGATGTAAAAAAATATGTTATATCTGCATTATTTTTAGATTAAGATCTGCTTAAGATGGTCATATATGATTTTTTACCCAACACTAACGCTTATAAATATGCTCAAATGTTCTCTTTAACCCTTGTGTATTGTTACAACCCTTTCATTATGTTAGTGGCTGTTTTTGTCCCATTGACCTCGTTATAACGATACTTTTTGATAGTAAAGTCTTGACACCATATAATCATGTAGTCTAGATTGTTGGTGGGTTTCTCAGATGAGAAGGGGAAATATTTTACTGTTGATCATTAGTTTGCACTATTAACCCTTTAGAAAAGCCTGTGCAAAAAAGGTGTCTGGCTTTAATATGAAGTTCTATTGAGTATAACAACTCATAGAGTGCGTGCATAAATACTTACAGAGTTTTGATAGATTCAGTGTTAAATCATTAATTCCACATATAGAAGTTAGAGTTGACAGATCTTCAGGTTTTCTATAAATCTGTTGAGTAACATGATTTTGTCTTTGTCTCCAGCAGGATGAAGCATTTGTGAACCAGATGCCTCATCAGAACCAGCAGCAAGTGGAGGTTGTAGCCAGTAGGGGACCAAATCGGATCCCTGAGCCACAGCCTGAGGAGCAGCAACAGAATGAACCTGAAAGACCTCAGCAGATAGATTTAGTAATAAATGGAAGAGTCCGTGGGGTTCTGCGTGGTCTTCAGTCTGCTCGTCCTCTCAGAAGAATGAGAGAACAGGTTAGTTCCTGCTTTCTGTTTTACCCAGAATTAAGAATTCGTCTACACTAATTGTGCTTTTCCAGAATTGCTCCCCAAAAACTAACTAAATATGTTACTTAGTTACTTTTTAAAGTAAGTGATGTAAAAATATGTTATAGCTGCATTATTTTTATATTAAGATAGGCTTAAAATTGTCATATATGACTTTTTAACTCAATGCTGTTGCTTATAAATATGCTCAAATGTTCTCTTTAACCCTTGTGTGCTGTTATTACCCTTTCATTATGTTAATGGCTGTTTTTGCCCCGTTGACTTCTATTATAATGACACTTTTTGATTGTAAAGCCTTGACACCCAATATTCATACATTAGATTCTTGATTGTTGGTGGTTTTCCCGGTTGAGAAGAGGAAACATTTGTCATTTTTACTGATGATCATTCGTTTGCACCGTTAACCCTTTAAATAAGCCTGTGCAAAAAAGTGTCTGGCTTTTATATGGAGTTTTATGGAGTAAATCAACAAATCATAGTGTGCGTGCACTAACTTATTTAGAGTTTTAGTAGATTCAGTGTTAATTCATAGACTCCACATATAGAAGTTTGAGTTGACAGATCTTCAGATTGTCTGTAAATCTGTTGAGCAACATGATTTTGTCCTTGTCTCCAGCAGGATGAAGCATTTGTGAACCAGATGCGACATCAGAATGAGCAGCCTGTGGAGGTTGTGGCCAGTAGGGGACAAAATCAGATCCCTGAACCACAGCCTGAGGAGCAGCAACAGAATGAATCTGAGAGACCTCAGCAGATAGATTTAGTAATAAATGGAAGAGTCCGTGGGGTTCTGCGTGGTCTTCAGTCTGCTCGTCCTCTCAGAAGAATGAGAGAACAGGTTAGTTCCTGCTTTCTGTTTTAACCAGAATTAAGAATTCGTCTACACTGAATGTGGTTTTCTAGAATTGTTCCCCAAAAGAAAGTTGTGGTCAAATTAAGACTCAAAATCCCCCCAGAGTGGATGAAAATGTCCCCACAGCACACTTAGAAGTGTTGTATCTGAAACTGACAGAAAGAGATTTTCATGATTACGTCTGTTCTTCAGCAGGACAACATTGTTAATCTCCAGAACCCTCCACTCCGGCAACCACGGCCTGGTCCACCGCCTACCTACATTCGCAGGACGGTGGTGGGCAGCATTGGAGATTTTCCACGCCATTGATGAGGAGCCTGAAATTCAGCCTCAAAGATGAACAAATAAATTAATAAAGAGATTTTTAAACAGAGTTCTGGAACTATATTTATGCTTTAAGAGCACCTTGTCAATGCCACAGCCTACCTGAGTATTGTTACTGACCATGTCCATCCCTTTATCACCACAGTGTATGACCATACGCGTGGGTTTCCTCCGGTTTTCCCCACAGTCCAACTATATAGGTGAATTGAATAAACTAAATTGGCCATAGTGAATGTGAGTGTGTGAGTGTTTCTCAGTACTGGGTTGCAGCTGGAAGGGTATCCGCTGTGTAAAACATAATGGAAAAATGACATTGCAATATTTTGCTTTGCTACAGTACAGTTAGGTTCATAAAGATTTGGAAATCGACACAGTTCTAATATTTTAGGCTCTATACACCAACACACTGGATTTTAAATGAAACGAACAAGATATGCTTTAACTACAAGACTGTCAGCTTTAATTTGAGGGTATTTACATCCAAATCAGGTAAAAGCTGTAGGAATTACAGCGGTTTACATATGTAAATATAAACCACATTCTAGAGTCAATTAAATCACCTTTCTTCCCAATTCTGATGCTCGGTTTGAACTGCAGTAGATCATCTTTACCATATTTACATGCCTAAGTGCATTTAGTTGCTGCCATGTGATTGGCTGATTAGAAATTTGCATTAATGAGCAGTTGAACAGGTGTACCTAATAAAGTGGCCGGTGAGTGTATATATACCGTATATAGCAGCAATCAGATTTATTTTTACTCACCTTGCAATGTGATATAAAATTGTCACCAGTAGATGGAGGGGAAAAAAGGATGTGAATGAAAATTATAATTTTAAAGCTTTTTTAGTCGACTACAAGAAAAATCTCAGTTATAAAATGGATAGTTCATGTCCTCGAGTTTGAGTTTGTCCTTGATTCTGCAACTTTTGCTTTGGTAAGTTTTCTGCTATCAGTATTGCGCCAAAGAAACCTTTATTTGTTTCATTTCTTTAGTTTTATTTTTGTAAAACCTTGCTGCTTTTAGGAAATAAGCATGAAGCTGTGGTTTATAGTGAATTTATAATGGTACAGTACATCACTCTACATGAATCCCCCTTTTAAATTCACTGAACCGTTGGTTCTTTTGGCTTTCTGCTTTATTTATTTTTTTGAATCCCCACTTTAAGCTTAAACTAATTTTATTTTGAATTTTATTTTTACTTCTTTTTAAAAAAATTAATTAATTAAAAGCTTTTTGGAGCTCTCTCTCTCTCTCGTTCACTGGCTCTTTTGGTCAGATCAAATGATTTATAAAATGAAACAGATCAAATAAACAGTTCCTCAAGTCAGTACTGATATCAGAATGCTTATACCAAGCTGCAATCACTGTATGTCTGTGGAGTATTTTGCAACAGCCTAGAACACAGATTAGCCAATCAGAATCAAGGACTGGAACAATTTGATTTATTAATAACCAGGGTTTTCCTGGCATGGTATTCTGAGTATGACGTTTTGACTGCCTAATATAAATACATTTTACATTATTGAAATCTTATTAAGCAAAACATTTAGTTATTTACAAAAAGAAACTAAGAAGCTAACATTAAATTTAAATAATAATTACATAACCAGTGCTTGAGCAACACTTGAGGTCTGTCTGTCTTATTTTTGTCAAAAACATGAAACCAAATGACAATATGTGGCCACTATGTAGGGACATTTTAATTAACTATAGTAAATGTTACAGAGCTGCTCTGTTCCAGAAATTCCCTTTCTTTAACAGCTTTATTTATAACAGGAATACACTATTGATGAATGAATGAATGAATGAATAAATGAATGAATGTGGGCATTGCATTAATTGTATGTAGGCTACTGTTCTAGAGTCAGCCGGAAAAACATGTGCCAGGGTTGTGGATCATTCACTGTTGTGACCCCTGATGAAGAGCTGAATATGCAGAGAGGTGAGAGAGTTGGACTACAATTGAATTACTTCACAAAAATAATTCACTGTTTACAAGCATTGAAAACTCCACCTGCTGGCGACACCTGCTGGCCAAAACTGTGTACATGCGACCAAAGCTCAAACCCAAACGTGCATATTAGTTCTTGATTTCTCTTTTACCCAGTCTTAGAATTAAAAATTAGTGTTGGAAAAAAAACCCTAAATGTGTTACTTGGTTACTTTTATAAGTACGTCATGTGACAAATATGTTGCATTTGCATTATTTTTAGATTAATATTTAGCCTAATCTTGTCATGTAATAGATTCAGAGGTGGGTAGAGTATCCAAAATCTATACTCAAGTAAAAGTACTTGCAGAATTTTTTACTCAAGTAAAAGTAACATTCTTTAAAGTTACTTGTGTAAGAGTAGAAAAGTACCTGATGAAAAATTTACTCAAGTAAATAGTTACTAGTTACTTTCGATTATATACACGCGCGCACACACACACACACGTATATATATATATAGTTTGTCAAAATTATCATCCTCCTGTGATTTTGTTTTTACTTCTTTTTCAAATATTTTCCAAGTGATGTTTAACAGAATCAGGAATTTTTCACAGTATTTCCTATAATATTTCTTTCTTCAGGAGAAAGTCTTATTTGTTTTTGTTTCGGCTGGAACAAAAGCAGTTTTCCATTGTTTTAAAGCCATTTTAAGGTCAATATTATTGGCCTTCTTAAGCTATATTTTTCGATAGTCTACAGAACAAACCATCATTAATGATTCATTTGCCTAAGTACCCTAACTTTAACCTAACTGACCTAGTTAAGCCTTATCTTAAACAAAACCTCGTAAGACATTTATTTACTGTCATCATGGCAAGCATAAATTAAATCACTTATTAGAAATGAGTTATTAAAACTATTATGTTTAGAAATGTGTTGAAAAATCTTTCTGTTATATTAGGGGAAAAATATACAGGGGGCTATTTAATTTTATATATATTATATATAATATTAGGCATGGGCCGGTATAGGATTCTGATGGTATAACCTAGGATAAAATTATCAAGGTTTCAATGTATCATTGTATTGTGATTACTGCTCTAAAATATATACTTTTTAAATGTTAGTGCAACAAAGCTAAAACTTTTTCCCCATTTGAACACAATATATTACATGTTAAAAATAACATTTAAATGTGAATGACTAATATGTACTGGGATAATCAGTTATTCTATAAAACAGCTGATTGGTTATCCCATAGCAGACCCGTAGCCAGCCCGGTATAAGGGGTGGTTCTTTTTTTCAAAACGTGGACCTTTTAACAGTTATTCACCCTATTTACAATGAATGAGCTTTAAATACTGTATTTTAGTGACATTTTAAGCACTATTTTTTGCTTGTTAGATCGTCATTATAATGACACATTTAATGTACCATAATATTTCCTAAAGATTTAGAGTAAAGAAAAATGAATACTTATTTTTAAAATACAAATGTATTACATCATAAATCATTAAAAAGATAGGAATCTGTTAAATTTTAAAATAAAAACTGTAGCCTATTGTAGCCTGTAGCCCACAAACTGGCCAGGGCTGCGTTTCCCGATAACGATTGATCTTAGCACTTAAGAGCGTTTTCTACGAGTCATTTTGCGAACGTTCGTTATTGTTTCACGTGCGTTTCCCAAAAATGCACTTAACACAATTGCACGTAGCCCAGCTTTAAGTGCAACTTAGGAGTCGCTATCCGTTTGTTAAGTGCTGAAATGTCACGCTATAGAATGGCTCGTTATTGTTGCACATGTTATAGCAATCCATATAATTCTTCTTCTACTTGTGTGAATGTATATTCAACTCGAATAACATAAAAAAAATATTTTTGAGCCAGTTTAAAAACATAAATTAACTGGAAATGTCGTACTGTAAAAACACTGTCTTGCTCCAATCTCGCATAAAACTAATTCTAACAGTCCTTGCCGGAAATGACATCAGCATCATTTTCGATATTTATATGAAACCTTAATTAAGTAGAATTATTTATCAATTTCTTTATCAAAAATTGCTTATCTCACATCAAAATAAATAAATAAGTAAATAAATAAATAAATAAATAAGCTCTTACATTTATTTTTGAAAAGTTTAGCCTAATTATCCCCACCTGATGTGCATTTGCTAATAGGACAAAAATATAGCCTACTACCCTCGAAATGTCCATATACAACAGTGTAATTTTTTTTTTCATTCTAACATTTATTATGTAATTTTTATTTTTTTCTTTATTCATTATTATTTGTATATTGAATTGTATAATGTGTAGAAAATATAAATGAATAGAGATATACGTACAAATAAAATGAATAATGACTTTGAAGAGAAGTAAATTGTAGGTGCAATTTGCCGGTTGTCCAGCAGGTGCCCTCATAACTCTGTCTCCTTACGATGCACTTAAGGCTTTACGATTACTCCAGAGCACTCGTAGATCCACTAAGATTTTCAAGTGCTACTTAAGTTACGATGCTTTTGGGAAACAGACCGTAATATTAAGATCAGTCGTACGATCATTTCTACGAACTTCTTAGGCTTACGATGCTTTTGGGAAACGCAGCCCAGAACATTCAACTGTCCTCACTCAGAATTGGCTATTTGAATAATAAAAAATTAAAACATAATAATAATAAAAGAGCTTTACAATTTGTCTAGCCTCTCTAATAAATAAGTACATTGAATTTGATTGAAAATTCATGGATGACAAAAATAGCCAAATTAGTTTTCAAATTAATTTTAATATATATATTAAACATATTTTGCTTAGTCTTAAAGCCTTTTTCAATTGATAAATTTTAACTATTTATGATGGCATAGCACTCAAAATAGGACAAATGAGCTCATGGGACAAATTCTGGACCTTAGTCATTGAGGTTTACAAACCCCTGAACCCCCCCACCCCCCACCCCGACCTCTCTTTAGAATAAAATCACTGTCATAAATATTTTGTGCGTTAATACAATTCACACATCCGTCACATCGGTGACGTAATTTTGACAGTGGAGTGTTGCTGTTTGATTCGCACTCGTAATCAGGACTTCGTGTCCATGGTGAAACTGTGTTTTGTGTTTGTAAAGTACACTCATCGTAAATTTATCAGTTATATACAAACAGACAAAGAAAGTGTCATATCTGTGTCTGTTCTAATCACAGATTTTGGAATTGTACC